TGTTGTAAATACTTGAAGATGATGAGGTTGAGAGAGTAAAAATGCCATTTTCGAAAAAAAATTCAAAAAACATTTAAATGGCATTTTCGTAAATAAAATGAAGATGTGGGGTGAATAGGACAAAAACAAGATGAGTCAAAAGAAGAGGTTAGTTTTGTGTTTGACTTGGAGTTTTGAGTCAAATTTGCAAAAAGCCCATAATTTTAACACAACACACCGGAGTTATTTGTACATAACTTATTTTAAAACAAAAACTGGCATAAGACCGATATTTGGTTCTGTAAAGTATAAACTCTATATCTCTTGGTTTTCGCGGTCTCTTGCAAATTCTAATATTTCTTACTTACACAGCTGTACAAGCCAGCAGCAATACAACGCCATAAAAGGTGATGCCGAAACATAACCACTCCTGCTTTGTTTCCAAATAATTTGGCTGAGGGAAGAGGAGATTAGGACATTAATAACTGATTAGTCCATCACCTTCACAATCTATAATTCTTAGACACAATGTTTTTTTTCACAAACACGACAACATAGTTATAACCCCTTAACAAATGTTTATTTGTTAAAAGGCAGGTCCACCCATTTTCAAATCTAATGTTTTCAAAAAAAAAAAAGTGTAACTAAAATACAATGACAATAATAGTTAAAGAATAAAAATTAATAAAAAAATAAATAAGTGAATAAATTTTTAAATCAACATAGACTAAAAACAATGAGGAAAATGTTGCTACAACAATTAATAAACAAGTAAAAAAACTATAAAAGAAAAATACGGCTTGTTGAGAGGTAATAAAAACTAAAAAACAACATAGAAACACCCAAAGTCTACAGTCGATACATTAGCGACTACGATGAACCATGTCACACAACGGTGACAGCATAGCACACACTTAGCCACCCACAAACAAAAAAAAACTATCCCACAAAACAAATCTAACGAAATGGCTACAAACTTATGAAACATAAATTGAAAAACAAAACAAATAATCTGTGCGAAGCGCGGACAAACCAGTAGTCTAAGAATAAACTGAAGTTCATCAACTTAAGAAATCTCAATAAATTGTTAATTGTTGTGGGCGATTTATAATTTTTGTAAAGTAATGCAAACAATTTTTAAATAAATAATTTAATTAAAAATAAAAAATATATAATTTGTGGATAGGGCGGATAAAGGATCTTACAATATTAAAAGCTCTTAATAAGAATCTCTCAATTATGCCACGTCGACTATTATAATTAACCAATCAGAAACAATGAATTTGCCATGTCAGACCCAGGCAGACCTAACTTCTCCTCCGTAAACTTTCCCGACTTCTCCACTCCTTTCATCGTCAACAGAGAAACATAAAGAGACTGATTCAAGGAGGATGTCGATCAGGAAGCTTCTCCTTCTTCTGAAACCGATAGATCTGTTCCTTCAATCAGAAAGTGCGTCGCTCATCAAAAACCCTCAGGTATTAGCCTCATCACTTTTTCCTTTAGCCAAAGCTCTATATTATGGAAACAAAAGTAAGTTTCGATTGATCTCCTTTGTCTCTTTTATTCACAAGTATATGTCAGTTTTTTTTTAAATACATGTGAGACAATTTGCAAGGCCAGACTTTGGGAGATGGAACTAAGAGAAATCACAGAACATAATTTAGACAGGTCAGAGATCTCTGTTATTTTTTTGGGTCAAAGATTTCTGCTATTATCGTCTCAAATTTGGTGTCAGAAGCCATGACCATTTTAGTTTGGTTTTAACGTTTTCTTTCGATTTT